TTATCTTTATGTCTCTCTCCCTCCTCAACTCCAAGCCTGGAACCAAGTAATTACTCAATAAATGGTGAGGATAATATTGGTTTGGTAGAGACATCATTTTGGAAATAATTTTTTTTTCTCCCAAGGTATAGGAAATAAATTTTAATTTACAGAAGTTTATTCAAGTTTCCATCACTACTGTGGTATTACGGCTTGCGATTTTGGCACGCCTAAGGGGAATATTTATAGACTAGTTGGCAATTTACAATTATTCTCTCTTTAGATGCAATGCTAGCTAATCAATTGCACATTAAAATAAAGGATTTGTATGAATAGCCTTGTTTAAAATATTTCTGTGTTGCAAAGATCGGTACAGTATAAACATACCAACATCATGTTTAGCAGCATTTTAAGCAAAAAGCCTGAAGGAAGGCTTTACTTCATGGCGATGCTCTAAATGAAAGCATCGGACCAGAGCTCCTAGAAAGCCTGTTCTCTCTGCCTTTTTGACTTTAAACACATTCTAGGGATTTGACATGTATGAAGATGATATGTCTTCACAGCATGTCCAAAGAGGTTCATATAGTTTTTGTAGTTTAGAAGATATTACTAAAAGGAACAGTGGTGTTTTAACTTAGTATAAAGAAAATGTATTTCTGATACTAATCACCTACGTGACAATGTGCTTTTGGTCACAAGGACATGACAAGAAAGTGCTGGTGGCCCAGTATAACTTTCACTTCTGCTGCCAAAAGCACCACAGGAAGGAGTGTCACTGGAATAATTGTCATTTTTACAGAAATCACGAGGCTTCTTAAATGTGCCGTGTGGTGGCCATGTTGTCTGAATTCAAGTGTTCTTTCTAATTTTTGTTCTGTTTCTCTTTGTTGTAATTTCCATCTCTAGATTTTCTCTTTTGTCCATGCTAGATTTAGGTGTAAAAAAGAACCCCAAATCCAAAATAATGGATGGAGGATGGCAAAACACAAGGTGATTATTGCTAGACTGTATCACATATTATACAAAGTCAGAGTCTCAGCAATTTATTTAGCTGTGTCAGGGTGCTTGCTTAGGGAGCTGGAGATCTAGATTTTCGTTCCATCAACAGCTCTTGCTGTCAATTAATTAGAATATATATTCCTATTAATTCAAGGCTGTGCAATGCCTTCTTCATGCACACTGCAAACATCTCCATGAAATTGCATCTGTCCTCGGTTATACCGTGCAGAGCTCCCGCCCTGAAATCCACTTTTTCTTTCCCAATCGACATGTTGTATGCCTGCCAAGTCGTACAGAAGCTTTTTGGATTGGAGATGTTACTGTTTTTAATAATATTTTTAAATGTTGAGAATATGGATGTTAATGTGATCTCTCTGCAAACACTGGTACGTAAAGCCCATTTACCAGATAAGGAAATTAGGTCACCTATGATTTGGCTATCCTGCGCAAACCAAATGGTTAGCTATCTTTTAACAATGGATTTTCCTCCAATGGCTATAGTTACTATACCTCCAATGGCTATAGGAACAAAGGCCCCATGTCCACTCCTGAGTACTCTAGATAGCTTGAAAATAGAAGTGCTAAACCCATTACTTCCTCAAAGCTTTATTTCCTTATGCAATTCTGTCCCTCAGCTAATGGCATTTCAATATACGCTGTTGCCTCAGTTAGGACTCTTAAAGTCATCGCTGACTTATGTCCCTTATTTCCCATGCCCAATTGATCATCAGACCTGTCAGTTCTCCCTCAGAAATGTCCTCTGGCCAAAGTCCCTTTTTATCATCCTCATGGCCACTGGCTTAGACCCTCATCATTTTTGTTTGCAGTATTCATACAGCCTCCTATCTGATCTCCCTGGCATCTATCTTCCTCCCCTCGAGTTCATTCTTCACCTGGACACCAAAATGATCTTCCTGAGAACAATTCTCATCAAGTTACTCCTCTTTTTATTTTTTTTTTTTAATTTTTTTTTTCAACTTTTTTTTTTTTTTTAATTTATTTTGGGGACAGAGAGAGACAGAGCATGAACGGGGGGCGGGGGCAGAGAGAGAGGGAGACACAGAATCGGAAACAGGCTCCAGGCTCTGAGCCATCAGCCCAGAGCCCGACGCGGGGCTCGAACTCACGGAGCGCGAGATCGTGACCTGGCTGAAGTCGGACGCTTAACCGACTGCGCCACCCAGGCGCCCCAACTCCTCTTTTTAAAGACCTCAGCTGGAGTCCACTTGTTCCCAGGATGAACGCTAAACTCCTAAACTGGACCTATAAGGCTTTTGGCAATTAAATGCATCCGCTTCTTCAGTTAGAGTTCTTGGCATTTGCTGCATGGATTTTCATCTCTCGTTCCATTCCTAAACACTCGTATCAAACTCTGACATTAATTAATTATATTAATTTATGCCTTTGCACATGTTTTCCAACAGCCGACGATGTTTCTCTTTTCCTTCACTGCTTGCCAAACTCGTACCATTTAAGACCATGCAAATATCGTCTCCTCTTGAAGTCTTTCCTGACACTGGCAAAACCATTCTTACCGTGCTCTAGAATTTCTCATCATGCCAATGATACTCCTATTACAACATTTACTGCTTTGTATTTTAATGATCTGTTAACAGGTCTTGTCGTAAACTCTTTGGGGAGAAGATTCTTCCTATACCTGATTCCTGTTTGAATTTGCCAAGTACAAGCATGTTTAATAAATGCTGCATGAATGGATGAATGATCCATATTGATCTTTTCCCCAAACCAAATGATATTTTTACTATAAGTGCTTCTACTGTAACATGATATACGCTTTCCTAAAAATTCGATCTTCTGTAAAAAGAAAACAAATGCAAACAATAAAAAGGGCTCACTGGGCAGACCACTGAGAACCTCATGCAATTTATAATCAGAGCATAATAAAAACCATATTTGGTATCTGAGCTCAATTGGATCTCCTTGGCATGCAGTCTTCCTCAGTGTGACTGGATATGGTCATAGTAGATATCAATAACAAACAGGAATAACAGAATGGAGATGCTGATACCGCTTGGGTTAATTCGGGAGGAGTTGGTAAGATAAGGTAGATGGAAATGGAGTCCGAGGCCAATGGGGTGGTTGCTAAGGTGGGCACTGGGACATTGCAACCTGCCACAAGCCCGGCTGGGAAGCACCTCTTTGGGGAGGGAGCAGAAAGTGCAAACACTCACTTTTAATTTTCTAGAAGTGTATACTGCAGCCTTAAAAAGGGTTGCTCTTGGGGCGCCTGGGTGGCTCAGTCGGTTAAGCGTCCGACTTCAGCTCAGGTCACGATCTCACGGTCCGTGAGTTCGAGCCCCGCGTCGGGCTCTGGGCTGATGGCTCAGGGCCTGGAGCCTGCTTCCGATTCTGTGTCTCCCTCTCTCTCTGCCCCTCCCCCGTTCATGCTCTGTCTCTCTCTGTCCGAAAAATAAATAAAGGTTAAAAAAATTAAAAAAAAAAAAAAAGGGGTTGCTGTGACTGTTGCAATAGCCATGCTGCGGAACTTTTTCTTTCCTGCAGAAAGTTATAATTCTTCTCTTGCTATATTTGGGTTCCCTTTGTCTACCAATATTTGCCTATTGAAACAAAGTGACTTCCACATTGCACCAACAACCCCCCCCTCCCGCTTATCTATTACATTCTCCTGTTTATCAATTACATATGAGCTAAATCACATTGTAACTATGGGCATTCCAGCAAAGCAGACACTATTCACATATTTGCATTGTTTAATTATCTAATGGCCATTATCGTGTCTTTCCAATGAAATGCTACAGCTAATTCTTTCAAGATAGAGACTGTATGTAATATTGAAAGAATCTGAAGTCTTTTCAGCTTTTGACATCAATTTCTTTGAGTAGCAGATGCTATTTTTTTCCAGCCATTCGTTTGTTGACTCTCAAATCCATTCTCTGCTCTGTCCCTCTCTACACTTCTCAACTTCTCTTCCCAAATGGCTTCTGCACAGTTTTTTGTCAACGGTAGGCACAGGTGGAAGGCTGGCAGGCAGTGGGAGAGAAGCCAGAGAGTTCTCCTCCTAGTTCTTTGCCTTGGACTTCCATTTCTGGCACTGGCTACCTTCCTTCGGTGGCCCTTGCTCCTGTAGGATTGTCTCTCCCTTCATGGTCTGTGTTCCCACAAGACAATTCTCAGCTGGGACTCTAGCCCCCACTAGTCAGCCTTAGCTTTTGAGCTCCAGGAACAATACTTCCTCTTCCTGACCCTTAGAGATGGCAGAGGCTTCCTGCTGTTACTAATTTCTGGGTTGCTTCGTTGTTCCCTGTCTGGAGCCTCAGCGCTTCCATCAGCATGTTACCATTTTCTTGTATTTAATTACCCTCCTGTGAACGGTCTAAAGTGTGTTTTTCTGCCTGATTCTATATGCTGTTAAAAATAATGTAGAATAAAATGAGATGGGCTATCGGTGCCCCTCGCCCAACTTGTTAGGTAGAATAAAAATCACCTTGACTTTATCCCCCCTGTACGAAGACAATAGCCCTAATGTGTCACTGGGAATGTTAAATGAGGTCTTGTGAAAAATTCGCCAAATATCAAGAAGGCACCCTGACTACACTTTTGTACTGAGACGTTCCTATCCTCTACAGCAGAGGCTGTGGAACTTTACTACTGATGGTAATTGAGGACACAGTCCTGGTGACTGTGCCCAAGATTATGACACTGAAGGCTCATTTCCCCAGTTTTCGTTTCAGCAGACAATTGACAGGGAAAAGGATTTGAATGCCCTGAACATTCCAAAATGTCTCTGGCCTTCATTCCCAAACAGTTCGCAAGGAACAACAAAAACTTCAATCAAACCTGGAAACGAGCAAGTTCCAAATCCTTGAGGACTGTTGAAATAAAAAGTACCACCCCAATGGGGGTGGGGGAGGGAAAGAACTGGCTTAGTAAAGACACATACTTAGTAAATACACATAGAGGTTAGTGTCTCCCAAAAAAACCTAACTGTTGATGTTTTCAGGAGAATAGGAGGATGGGAATTTCATGCCCCCACCTAACGTGTGCTATTGCGACTAATCCAACTTTTATTGACAAAAAAGGTACAGAAGCTGTAATCACACAGGCTAAGGAAAGAATAATGCAGCTCTTTTGAGTCAGGATTAAGTTGTGTTGGTTGATGGGTTTGGAAAAACAATATTATACTTGGCTTCTAGATAAATACTGCAGAGACCTCTTGTAAATCTTCCAGTAATTTTTCGTAATCCTTCACAAGTAGTAAAATCATTGCTGTGAGGCAGACAGGAGAAGACTCCACAAATAAGACATCTGTTATTGTTATATCAATGATGATATATGCCCAACTCTGAAATAACAACATTTAACAAGAAATGGAACCTTATCCAAAATGAGATCTCACTCACTTCCCTGACTTCATTTGCTACATTAATAAGAGTAAACGGAAGTTTATAATTGGGTGATCTTATCTATTAGCATTAGTAATATATCACAGGTATAGGGCTTTATATTTTAGATTAATGGAATTCAAAACATTGGAAAAGTTCTATGCTAGCATACAGCATGCATAGACAGATGATGATACATTGCGTAAACAAAAAACAAACTATTTGCTTCTTGTGATATATGTCATATGTTTTTTATATTTTGCACCTCCCACAAATTTTCAGTGTTTTACAAGTTGAAGATATTTTCACAACAATCTATTAAAACAACAATGAAAGAACGTTAAGGTTTGTAATGCTTTCGTGAGACTCATAATATTATGAGTCTTCATATTTAAAATGAATGTTTAGAAAAATAATGTATTACTTGAAACTTACACATTTTTCCAACATACAGGTGAAAAATGAATTAAATTCTAAACTCCAAAGGCTATGTCACCATATGTTTGGAGAATTCTTAAGAACCCCAAAGTAGAACTTTGGCAAGTGGAACAGGCAATTATTTGCCAACACCAGATTTATGTGCAACTCCTAAGAATCTTAAACAGAATCTTTTTTAAATGCCTTCAAACCACATCCAGGAATGTCTTGTTTTTTACTTTTATTTCCATTGTCCTTGTTTGACTTCTGTACTTTACGTCCTGTTGAAACAAACGTTTGCTCACCTTTGAATCTGGAAGGTAGCAATTCTCTAATTTCCCCCGATTGCTCTGTAAGTCTCATGCTCCACAACGCACACAGAAGAAAAGGGCTTGCTCTGCTCTCCTGCAGATTTCCAGCTCAAACTGTGCTTAATCTTTTTCCAGGATTTGCTAAAACTAGTGACTAAGCCAAAGTTAGAATGTTGTGTGAATCTGCTTAGAAAATAGGTGTTAGAGACAAGTAGGAAACATCTAGGCCCCTCCACATTAGCCACCACTGACTATGGCGGACTTTTTGAAGCTCCCTCTTTCTTAGGCTTTCATTTCTACTTTTGCGAGCTCTACTTAAGACCCTCACCATATTCTTAAAGCAGACTATACTATTGGATTGTATCTTGGAGAAGAAATAATATTTTCTCTCTATGAACTCATGAAGAACATCCATTTTGAACTCTTATTAGGCCCGCTTTTCAAAGTGTGTTTTCTTTTTAATGTGTGTATGTTTCTTGATTAATATTAAATAATCACCAGCTTGGATTCTTTTTTTTCCCAAAAAAGGTATTTAGCCATTATTGAGGAGCCTCAGGGCATATACGACATGAAACTACCTAACCACTACTCAATAGAGAAATTATTAGCCTTTACCTTAGTCAATCCTGTTAGGCATATAGATATATGTAAGAACTGAGGATTTTCAACTTTAAGTTCCATCCTCCTCAATCCTTGGGCTCAAATCTTAAGAACTGGAAAAAACATGAACAGATTATGCCTCATCAGGGAGTCTGATCTAGAATTAGTCCTGCTTCTGTAAGATCTCTGAGACCTGCTGCTGTAAGATTAGTTCTGGTACTCAAATATCCCCTAAAATCAAAGCTTCCCTTCATCTTTCGGTGTCTATTCAGTAAGTACAAACAGATATCTTCTTGGGTTTTCAGATAAGCATTTTAAGATCTGGTAGGCATTGGCTTTCTGCCTTAGGTCCCAGACCACTGACAGAGATACCTTGTTTGCCTCTGCCAGCCACCTTTCCCAGGGACTAGACCTTGCTCTGCTACCTCTAACACCTGGACTGGTCCTGATCTTTTCTTTTTTAATGTTTATTTACTATTGAGAGACAGAGAGACACAGAGAGTGAGCAGGGGAGGGGTAGAGAGAGGGGGAGACTGAAGCAGGCTCCAGGCTCTGAGCTGTCAGCACAGAGCCCGACGCGAGGCTCAGACTCACAAACTGTGAGATCACGACCTAAGCCTAAGTCGGTCGCCTAACCAACTGAGCCACCCAGGCGCCCCAGTCCTGATCTTTAAATAGACGGAAACCCCAAAACATGACATTGGCGCGTGCTGAGTTTGAGAATCACAAAAGTCTGGACACTCTAGCCGCTGTCCTCACCGGCCAGATGAACCCTATGGATACAGATGCTAATTTGCACTGCTGGGTACTTCCCTCAGTGGCCAGCTCCACTGCTGGGTCAGCTTCTCATCCTCAGTATCCACTTTCTCCTGCTTCTTCCTTTTTGCCTACCACCCGCCGACGTCTTAATATGCTCCATAGACCAAGCCATACAAATTTGACAACTTTCACTGGTTTCAACAGGTTAGGTCAGCCTTTATGAGAGAAAATCATGAGTTATTAAAAGAAGGTCTGAGGAGTTTTATTATTATTCCCTCAAAAATTCAGAGGTTTGTTGAACCTCTAAAAAGTACTATCTCAGTAAGTACGAGGAGACAGAGCACCACAAGACTTTGTCTTGAAAATGTTTACATTCTAATTGGATAGACACTCATATTTGTGCGCGCGCGCACACACACACACACACATACACTACACAAGGCAATGTAAATGCCAAGTGAATCACACGAACCACAAGGGTCAGCTAAGAGAGAGAGATGACTCTGGTGTGGGCTGGCTGGGGAAGGCATTATGCAGGAGATAGAACACAGAGTGTCAAAGAAAGCAGCAGAGACTGGTGTGCAGGAGAAAACGAAAAGGACAGCAAAAGTTGGAGAAGCACCATGAGCGAAAGCCTGAAGGCAGGCCAGCCTCATTGGAATTGAGAATTTAGGAAGGAAATCACGAGGAAGAGATTTCTTACTTTTTAATCAGTCTCAGTTGGAAGGGGAGGAGCTTTCCCAAGGCAGTCGGATAATTGGGAAGGGCTTTCTGGTCTCCAAGTTTCGGGACTAACGAGCCATATTAGCGGCAGCCATGGGTGGGAGAAACAGGTGGCTCTGCTAATGGCACTAAAAGGAACCCCAGAAGTGATGCTTTTGATTTAGCTCATTCTGTAAAGGCAGAGATTTGGCCCTTTCCCACGTCCACTCAAACCCCCCCCCCCCCCCCGGGTTCTCACCCAAGAGAGGCTTACTTTTCCCAACGAGGCGATCCTTGCCCATTGCCATTGCATTTTGTACGTGCTGTATAGACATGTTGGAGAAACGGGCGAAGGAACTTGTCTTGGGTATGGTATCTGTGCTCTCCCTCATGAAGGAAAACCTCGATTCAGATTGCTTTCCTGAAGCATTATGAAACCTTACTTTGGAAATCGTGCAGAACAGAAACTCTGGAACTGGAGTGTCATGTGCAGCGCTTAGAGAAGTGGAGGTTATATACCCTCCCATCTTCACTCTATGCCTTGTGTCCGACTTTTCTGTTCATCACTCCTTCCTCAGCTGCTCAAGTCTCTCGCCCATGTCTGCCTTCCCAAACGAGTCCCTCCATGTCAAAATCTCCCCTTTCCACCACCCTATCCACAACTCTCCTAGTCTTAATAGCACAAAATATATGGCATTTGCTGAGTGAGGGCTGAATCTGGAACTGGCACACCTCCGTAGAGAAACATCAGTGATTCAATATGAATGTAGAGTGACGCGTCCAATCTCTCTGACCATCTGTTTCCTCGTTTATAGAATGGGGGTAAATACTTACGATATAGATCCATTTTAAGATTACAGATAAGGAAACTGAGGCTCAGAAACTTGCCTCTGGACACACACAGTGAAAATGTGCTGAGCCAGGATTCTGGCTCATGGGATGTGACAAAATCTTGTGTGTATCTTATTCTACTGGGCTACAGCATGAGAACCTCAAGCCCCTGTGGAGGGGTAAGGGCCAGGAGACTTTCTTAGTATATACGGTTGCCAGGTAAAGTGCAGGATGCCATTTAAACTGGAATTTGGGGTCAACAATGAATAATTAATAGTACAAGTACATACTAAATATTGCATGGGATGTGCTTGTACTTTATTATTCATGGTTCACTTGAAACTCTAATTGAACTGAACTTTACCTGGATGTTTTGTGTTTTTTCCCCTAAATCTGGCAATCTTACTGGTGGTACTCTATAAATCACAACATACAGACAACTGCTAAAGTTTAAGGAATGTGGTCCTTGAGGCAAAAAAGGAAGTAAACTCTTATTACCAAGCCATTGCTTGTCAGAACTGGAAAGGAGCATAACGGTCACCCAGTCCTCACTTCACCGATGAGTAAACTGAAGATCAGGGTGGGGAAATGTAAAAAATCACTGGGGCTATAAAGAGACCAGATTTAAAGTCTGGGTTCCATTGTCATTGTTGAATGCTTTATCCACCACACTTAGGGCTGTTGAAAAGTTGCGAATAAACCTAAGCTTTGATGATGAAGGAAACAGGGCTGCCTTATGCATTGTAGGGGCTCAATAACCATTTTGTCCAAGAGGACAATTTAATCCTGATCTGGCACTTGGTGCCATGCTTTACATGGAAAAGGCACACTAGTAAAGCTTGTTAATAATGATACATGTCACGCGTATATACAATAGTATAACCATAAACACACACACATATTCATTCTTAGGACTTGAGAGCATATGTGAATATCTCCCAAGTGGATTATTAGATGCCCTTGGGAATTATGACACTAAACCAGGTCAACCAACTTTTTCTATTCCTGAAGTCTGTAGTAGCTAATGGAGACACTGGGGCATCATAACGTCTAAGTTAGGGGGAAGAAGAAACTTCAGAGCTATGCTATGCAAAACAGTTTCTGCTAGCCACAAATGGATATTGAGCACATGAAAGGTGATTAGTTCTGAGATGGGCCAAAAGTATAGATCACACACTATATTTCAAAGACAATATAAAAAATGTGAAGTGTGAAATACAAAGATAATTTTTTTATATTAGTTGTATTTTTTTTTAAATTTTTTTTCAACGTTTTTTATTTATTTTTGGGACAGAGAGAGACAGAGCATGAACGGGGGAGGGGCAAAGAGAGAGGGAGACACAGAATCGGAAACAGGCTCCAGGCTCTGAGCCATCAGCCCAGAGCCTGACGCGGGGCTCGAACTCACGGAGCGCGAGATCGTGACCTGGCTGAAGTCGGACGCTTAACCGACTGCGCCACCCAGGCTCCCCAATATATTAGTTGTATTTTTAAATATCTTTGATATATTGGGTTAAATCAAATATATGATTTTTTAAAGTTTATTTATTTATTTTGAGAGAGAGAGAAAGAGAGAGAGAGAGACAGAGAGAATCCCAAACAGGGTCTGCGCTGTCAGTGAAGAGCCTGTTATGGGGCTCAAACTCACTAACTGTGAGATCATGAAGTGAGCCAAAGTCAGACACTTAAGCCACCCAGGTGCCCCAAATCAAATATATTACTAAAATACATTTCACCTTTTTAAAAAAAATGTTCATTCATTTTTGAGAGAGAGAAAGACAAAGCATGAGTGGGGGAGGGGCAGGAAGAGAGGGACACACAGAATCTGAAGCAGGCTCCGGGCTCTGAGCTGTCAGCACAGAGCCCCACGCAGGACCCAAACCCACAAACTATGAGATCATGATCTGAGCCGAAGTCGGATGCTTAACTGACTTGAGCCACCCAGCTGCCCCAATTTCACCTGTTATTTAAGCTTACTTTTTTCTATGGCTTTGGAAAATTTTAAATGATGTGAGTGCAGTAGATTTTATTTCTATTGGATAGCACTATCCCAGAGTATTCACTGTTTGTTTAAATAGTAAAAAATAGAGTAGGATCCACCCCCCCCATCTTGCCATCTTTCTATGATAATATTTGTTTAACTCATTTATTTGCTTCATTGAAGATTTATGAAATTGTTTTGAAAAGTGCAAACCATTATGGAAATATAAAATATCTTTATAGTCATTATTGTTCTTAAAAAAGAAAATAGCTGGCTATCGGATTTTCTTTTCCACACTCAGCAAACACTGAGCTCAGGCTGCTTACTTCTTTCGGGCAAGTCACTTAGGCTTAGTTCAATTAAATGCCTCTGTTTCCTCATCCACAACCAGAGATCTCCGAAAGGGAAGGCCTATTCCCAACACCCGTGGGGTACAGGACTGCCAGAACAATGAATAATGTGGCCCCGTTGTTGCTGACAGATGGGAATCATTCACTTCTTAGGGTATGTGTTTTTGAAATGCTTTGGACTTCACGCCCCCATTGAGGCTGTTGCCATGGTCATGTGCTTTACGATGTTAGCCCCTTGGCCCTTTACTCTGCCTTCCCAGGAAAGAAAGAACCTTGCTGCAAATTTCACAATTGTAAAAATATCTCACTAGTCAGTGCCTTTGTAATCCCTTCTTGTATTTCCCGTTAAACATGGGTAATTCGTAGATACAGATAATAAAAGCTATCAGATAGAGCGGAGGCACGATCTGATTCCACTTCATTAGAAAGTGCCCTAAGAAAGCCTTATGCATTGGAAGCTGCATGCGACAGTCCTCCCTTGTTTAAGTTTTAAACTCCTGCTTTTTGGCACGGAAGCTCTTTTGCCTTTTTTTTTTTTTTCGGTTAGTGGCAAAAGCCAAAATGTCTCCTTGTGATGTCAGCTTATGCCTGGTGGAAGAAAAGATGAATATTTTGGAGGACTTTTTTTTTTTTTTTTTTTTTTTTTTTTGCCATTTCAACCTCATCTTTGTTAGTGCATCTGCACTCCACCTGACCTTTCTTGGTTCTGTTTTTAATTCTCCTCATATACCAGCTTTTAGTGGAGACTGTGTGCTTTAAGTAACGAAGGTCAAATTTCTGAGCCCTTGTATGCTCACCCAATGATTTCTAGCCCTCTTTAATCCTTCCCTACACCAACTGCTGCGGTAATGAGGGGCAAGGGGTGGCTGAGGATTGAGGTCATGAGCTTTCAGTTTGTAGTTGTATATTTCTCCGTGCTTACGTAGAGCAGCTCCTCTCAGTTTCCTAGAGGTGGGTAAAAAAAAGAAAGGAGAAGAGGAAAGAAGTCACCGAATCCCATTACAGTCTATTGATATTGTTCGTGTGGGTCATTTCCTGCTGCAGTGTGCATCTTTTTTAGTGAAGGGAAGGAGAAGCTCTTGTAGGTCATACAAAAGAATGCATCCCATCCGAGTATCCCTGAGGAGTGGTGCCACTGGGCCATCCAGAAGAAGCCCTGGTCTCGCCCAAAGGGGTCAAAGCACAAGGGAAGTTTCCTACTGACAAAAGAGTCACCGAACCAACCTCCTGTTCTCCTTAAAGGCATTTTTTTCTGCTGCCTCTTGGGATGTTCACGTCATTAAAAACACCCTACCTTTAAATCTGTGCAAATATGGATAGAGACAGAATTCTTGCGGTACCTGAGTGGCTCAGTCGTTGAAGCATTCGGCTCGTGATTTCAGCTCAGGTCATGGTCTCCGAGTTGGTGGGTGGGAGCCCTGCCCCCATCAGGCTCTGCGGTGATAGCAGGGAACCTGCTTGGATTCTCTCTCTCCCTCTCTCTCTTCCCCCTCCCCCCCATCTCTCTCTCTCTCTCTCTCTCTCTCTCTCTCAAAAATAAACTTAAAAAATCTTAAAAAAATTTTTTTAAGAGAGAGACAGAGCATGAGTAGGGGAGGGACAAAGACAGAGGCAGACACAGAATCTGAAGCAGGCTCTAGGCTCCATGCTGTCAGCAGAAGAGCCTGATGGGGGGCTTGAACTCGTGATCCCAAGATCATGACCTGAGCCAACATCTGAGCCAAAGTGGGATGCTTAACCAACTGAGCCACACAGGTGTCCCTTAAAAAAATCTTTAAAAAAAAGACAGGGGTGTCTGGGTGGCTCAGTCGGTTAAGCATCTGACTTTGGCTCTGGTCATGATCTCACGGTTCATGACTTGGAACCCCACATCTGGCTCTGTGCTGACAGCTCAGAGCCTAGAGCCTGCTTCAGATTCTGTATCTCCCCCTCTCTCTATCCCTCCCCCACTCACACTCTATCTCTTTCTCTCAAAAATAAATAAACATTGGGCGCCTGGGTGGCGCAGTCGGTTAAGCGTCCGGCTTCAGCCAGGTCACGGTCTCGCGGTCCATGAGTTCGAGCCCCGCGTCGGGCTCTGGGCTGATGGCTCAGAGCCTGGAGCCTGTTTCCGATTCTGTGTCTCCCTCTCTCTCTGCCCCTCCCCCGTTCATGCTCTGTCTCTCTCTGTCCCAAAAATAAATAAAAACGTTGAAAAAAAATTAAAAAAAAATAAATAAA